GCACTGAGAGACAAATAAGCATGATGTAACTAAAATTAATATAAATTGCTATACATTCAACTGCATTGCGATACACAGTCAAAACCTAATTTGCTTAACCCTGCATTGCACTGAGAGAAGGACAAGTACTATATACTTAGTCAATCTTATCTGATATTTTACTAGCCATTTTGTATAGTGCAGTAATTGAAGAAAGCTGAAACAGTGCAACGAAAAAAGAAAAGAAGAAATAGCTACATTCTGGAAAAATCTAGATCAGCATTTGTACCTTCATCGTTGGTGAACTTGCAACGTAATGGTTTCACTTGCATTTCCGTCGAAAGAGATCATAGGTATTCATGACAATAGGAACCGATATACACTGATGCTCTTCAATGGAGGTGTCATGGTCGCTGTGACTTGGCGAAGTGTTTAAGGCAAGATCTCACACACACGAACTTACACACACACACACACTTACACTCTCACACCAAACAAACACACTCACACACACGAACTTACACACACACACACACTTACACTCTCACACCAAACAAACACACTCTCACACACACGCACATAAAACACATATTCTTATAATTTCAATCAAAATCTGTTTAGCACTGATAAGAAAATTCAAGAGCAAATGCCTTTTGAATTCAACGCAGGATCTCCATCTCATGTCCTGATCCTGACTGAATGTTTCCTTTTGTTATTTTGCAATTCTTACCGGCACAGACGAAGCGAAACCTCTTGTTTTTGTTTTTATCTTATTTTAACATCTGCATAGATCAATATTTCGCAAATGCCTTTTTATGCGAGTAACTTTTGTTCATAGATTTATCTACATATCTATTTATTCATTTGTGAAAAGTAAGGTCTTGGAAAGCTTGTGAATAAAGAGAGATGGAAAAAAACTTTCTTTTTATATAACGATGATATGGCTATTAATTAAGGAAACTAAAAGCAGTCATAGAGCGCCTAACTCCGCCAAGGGAACAGGGTCATTGATGCAATAAAAAATTTCACACTTGAAGAATTACATTGAAATCACCTCTTCTTCAGATACGCTGGTGACTTCCGCGTTTCCTTATCTCGCACTGCTAATGAATCCTTTAAAAAAATCCTAGGTCCGGATCACCACTTAAAAATCTGTTATAAGCTTTTTGAGTTACCCTGCTAACCAACTAACCAACAAACTAACCAAAAATAGAACCTCTTTGGTAATTCGTGCAAAGTCACCTTTCGCTTCATTCCATAGACTTGTTTTTGACTAGTCCCGCCATGAGTGAGTAAAATCAAAATAACAAAAATATTCTGTTACTCACCATTATCCATCTAGTTCCTCTGTGTTCGTAGGCCTACTCTAAACCTTTCGAAAATACCTCGAAAGATCAATGAAACGTTTCCTTAAAAGGCACCACGACCTGCCGCTGTCGAGACTTGGAATGGCAAACTCACTCACTCACACACACGCACACACAAACATATATAATAATAATAATGATTACGATAATGATAACAAAACGATTTTTGTACTGCCACCGCCTTTTTTTTCTTTCTTAAATCCCAAATGCATCCAACAACCGTTACACATACAGCTCCAACCACCCAACCCCAACACAAAAAACAAAACAAAACAAAAAAACCCCGGATATAAGACCGATTCTCCTTACCCTCAAAGGCAGAGAAGTCGATCGGCGTTCTCAGTCGAATGATGGCGATGTCATTGGCGAATGTGTTGCTGTCGTAACTCGGGTGCTGAATGATGTCCTCGGGAACGAAGTCCTGGGAGGGGGGGATGCACCTCGGCCTCGGGCTTTCGTTGCAGTTGGTGTCTGAGAGCAAATCCTTTTCGCCGACGCGGATCACTTCCCTGGGGGGGGGGGTGTAGGTTGTGGTAAGAGGGTTATTATCATCATTATTTTTTATTAGTGTAGTTATTTTATTTTATTTTATTTTATTTTATTAGTGTAATTGTTTTTTATTATTATTTTATTAGTGTAGGTTTTGGTAAGAGGGCTATTATTATCATTATTGTTAGTAAAGTAAGCTATGTAAAGATCCACACTGAAAAAAAATCGAGATTGATACCACCAAAGACGTCAGTGCAGGTCAAGATACAGCTAAGAAAGAATGAAAGATTAGAAATTCAGCTATTTACGTAAGAAAATATGTTAAACAGGGTTGAATAGCTTTTAGGTCGAAAATGGGATTTAGAAAAAATACTCTCTCTCTCTCTCTCACACACACACACACACACACACACACACACACACACACACACACACACACACACACACACACATTTAGGACCTAATGATTATAAGGCAAACATGCATAATATCCTAATAATCAATCCTACATAACATACTGATGTATAGCAAATGCATCACAACAGAAGCTGACAAATCGCTAAATTCCGCGAGCTGCCATAACCAGAGAACACGCGCTCACAGCTGGAACTGCTTGGGCTGGAGCAAGGCCGGGTTGACGCAGTGGGCCGCCGTGACCACGTGGCTCTCGCCGATGAGCGACCCCGCGCACAGGAACTGGACGGCGTCGCTCGAGGAATCTGGGATGATGGAGAGTGGATAATGGATAGAGGGATAAATGGATAAATGAATGAATTAATTGATAAATTAATGGGCAAATGGATAGATGACTGAATACAGGGATAAATAAATGAATAAATGGATAAACGATTTAATAAGTGGATGAGTAAATGAGGAGGTGGATAAATGAATAAATAAATAGGTAAACTAGCGAATAGATGAATAAATAAATGAATAAATGGTGAAATAAATGAATAAATGGTGAAATAAATGAATAAATGAAATAAAATAAATGAATAAATGAATAAATGGTGAAATAAATGAATAGATGAATGAATGAATAAATGGATTTCAATGAATAAACGGATAAATGAAGGGGTAAATGGATAATGAAGGAATAAATTGATAAATGAATTAATATGGATGAAAATGAATTAATGCATAAATGAGTAACTAAAATGATAAACGAAAGAATAAATGGTGAAATAAATCAATAAAAGATTTCAGAAACGAATGGGGCAATGTCTTATTTTCTTCAATTCCCTCTTCGTGAAAGTATAAACTATCTATCAATATTATTTTGGCGCAATTCTACGTAAATGTATGATAATGGTGATTTTTCTGCACAGTATCTTGACTCAAGACACCACCGAAGTAGATCATAAAAGATATCCGAACAATACCACAACAATTTTCTAGACAATACCACAACAATTTTCTAGACAATACCACAACAATTTTCTAGACAATACCACAACAATTTTCTAGACAATTTTTCTAGACTTTTCTAGACAATACCACAACAATTTTAGACAGACAATACTTTTCTAGACAATACCACAACAATTTTCTAGACAATACCACACAATTTTCTAGACAATACCACAACAATTTTCTAGGACAATACCACAAACAATTTTTCTAGACAATACCACAACAATTTTCTAGACAATACCACAACAATTTTCTAGACAATACCACAACAATTTTCTAGACAATACCACAACAATTTTCTAGACAATACCACAACAATTTTCTAGACAATTTTTCTAGACCAAACAATTTTCTAGACAATACCACAATTTTCTAGACAATACCACAACTAGACAATACCACAACAATTTTCTAGACAATACCACAACAATTTTCTAGACACAACAATTTTCTAGACAATACACAACAATTTTCTAGACAATACCACAACAATTTTCTAGACAATACCACAACAATTTTCTAGACAATACCACAACAATTTTCTAGACAATACCACAACAATTTTCTAGACAATACCACAACAATTTTCTAGACAATACACAACAATTTTCTAGACAATACCACAACAATTTTCTAGACAATACCACAACAATTTTCTAGACAATTTTCTAGACAATACACAACAATTTTCAATACCACAAACAATTTTCTAGACAATACCACAATTTTCTAGACAATACCACACAATTTTCTAGATAGACAATACCACAAACATATTTTCTAGACAATACCACAACAATTTTCTAGACAATACTTTAGACAATACCACAACAATTTTCTAGACAATACCACAACAATTTTCTAGACAATACCACCACAATTTTCTAGATAATACCACAACAATTTTCTAGACAATACCACAATTTTCTAGACAATACCACAAATATTTTCTAGACAATACCACAACAATTTTCTAGACAATACCACAACAATTTTTCTAGACACAACAATTTTCTAGACAATACCACAACAATTTTCTAGACAATACCACTACAGTTTTCTAGATAATACCATAACAATTTTCTAGACAATACAACAATTTTCTAGATAATACCATTTTCTAGACTACAACAATTTTCTAGATAATACCACCACAATTTTCTAGACAATACCACAACAATTTTCTAAACATACCACACAATTTTCTAGATAATACTACACTAGATAATACCACCACAATTTTCTAGACAATACCACAACAATTTTCTTGATAATACCACAACAATTTTCTAGACAATACCACATTTTTTCTAGACAATACCACAATAGACAAAATTTTCTAGACAATGCCAATTTTTCTACACAATACCACAATAATTTTCTAGACAATACCACCACAGTTTTCTAGACAATATCACAACAATTTTCTAAGCAATACCACAACTATTTTCTAGACAATTTCACCACAATTTTCTAGACAATTCCACAACAATTTTCTAGAAAATACCACTATTTTCTAGACAATACCACCACAATTTTCTAGACAATACCACAACAATTTTCTAGACAATAACCACAATTTTCTAGACAATACCACAACAATTTTCGAGACAATACCACAATAATTTTCTAGACAAAACCACAACAATTTTCTAGACAATACCACAATTTTCTAGACAATACCACAATTTTCTAGACAATACCGCCACAATTTTCTAGACGATACCACAACAATTTTCTAGACAATACCACAATTTTCTAGACAATACCACAACAATTTTCTAGACAATACCCAAAACAATTTTCTAGACAATACCACAACAATTTTCTAGACAATACCACAACAATTTTCTAAACAATACCACAACAATTTTCTAGACAATACCACAACAATTTTCTAGACAATACCACAACAATTTTCTAGACAATACCACAACAATTTTCTAAACAATACCACAACAATTTTCTAGACAATACCACAATTTTCTAGACAATACCACTAGACAATTACCTTTTTCTAGACAATACATTTTCTAGACAATACCAACAATTTTCTAGACAATACCACAACAATTTTCTAGACAATACCGCCACAATTTTCTAGACAATACCACAACAATTTTCTAGACAATACCACAACAATTTTCGAGACAATACCACAATTTTCTAGACAATACCTTTTCTAAACAATACCACAACAATTTTCTAGTCAATTACAACACGCAATACCACAAATTTTCTAGAGCTACACAATTTTTTCTAGACAATACCAACAATTTCCTAGACAAACAAATTTTCTAGACAATACCACAACAATTTTCTAGACAATACCACCACAATTTTCTAGACAATACCACAACAATTTTCTAGACAATACCACAACAATTTTTGAGACAATACCGCAACAATTTCCTAGACAATACCACAACAATTTTCTAGACAATACCACAACAATTCCCTCGACAATACCACAACAATTCCCTAGACAATACCACAACTAAGGTCCCCCGGGCGACATCTCACCCAACCCACCACCTCCTCAAGGCCTACCTTTGTACCCCAGCAGCGCCATCCAGACCTCGTCCTCGAAGGCAGCCGGGTCTCCGCCGCCCACGATGGCCAGCGGGAATGTTGCTCCACACGTCGCTTGGCGGGCGACAGGGGCGGGGTCAGGCGAGGTCAGGGGCTGGGTCTGAGGGGCAGGTCGCGGCCGGGTCGATCCAGCGTCATCACAGCATACCTGCGGGGAAGAATGACAGCTATCTGTGTGTTTATCTCTGTCTATCTGTTTGTCTGTATGTCTGCCTGTCTATCTATCTCTATTTGCATGTCTATCTGTGATATCTGTATGCCTATTCATTTATCTATCTATTTCTGTACATATGTATATACATTTCCTCTCCTTTTTCATGAAGGTGAGTTCGACAGGGTAAGCTTCTATGGCATAGACATTTTTACGACACTATTGGCAGAAATGCCTGATCATTTACATACTGCAATATTAGTTACGTATTGTACATAAATGTGAAAAGAGAATCTCATTTACCTTAATTCCCTTTATAAGCTACAAATTCACATGCGCGCGCGCACGCACACACACACACACACATACACACACACACACACACACACACAACACTACTCCTCACAAAAAGAAAAAAATCGTTCCAACAGGGCCCCCGTCAGACTCACCAAGGGCTCTAACCCCGAACTCCCGACGGTGCAAGTGGCCTCCTGCAGAGCCTTAATGTCACTGGCACTCGGGTCCGTCAGCAGCTGTGCCAAAGAGGGACAGTCCTGCAGCTTGATGCACTCGTGGGGACAGGCTGCTCCTTGAGGGTGAAGTTTAGAAGGATGTATATACATTCTAGTTGAATGGTTGAATGTCAGCTTTGAATGATTCAAATTCGAGAACATTGTTATAAAAATCGACAAGAATACGTATGCAGTGTTTTAAGATTTGCTTAAAACAACAGCAACAAACAAAATCTGATGAGAATTTAAGAGAGCGAAGGATATAATTCCAGTTTCAGCTTTAGATTATTAGAATAAAAAAAACTCATCTTACTTGAAATGTGTAAGTGTTAAATATCTGATGACACGAAAAAAATATAATAATAATACTGGCTGTAAAAACAATCATGAAAACTTTTACTTTTACTTGTACCAACTCCTGAATAAAGTCAGAATCACATGAAGATATTTATATTTCAATCAAATAACAAATTATCACGAAAGAACAGGTAAGTGAGAGAAAGAGAGAGAGAGAGAGAGAGAGAGAGAGAGAGAGAGAGAGAGAGAGAGAGAGAGAGAGAGAGAGAGAGAGAGAGAGAGAGAGAGAGAGAGAGAGAGAGAGAGAGAGAGAGAGAGAGAGAGAGAGAGAGAGAGAGAAACGAGACGAACGAAACGAACTGTGAAAAAAAATAAACCAAAAAAATCAAACTGAATAAAACACAGCACCAACCTCTCGAAGAAAACGTACGAAACGAAACGAGATTCAGTAAAACGAATAAGAAAGAGAGTAAAATCGAGTAACTTACCTTGGCCGTGGGAGACCTGCGCCAGAGACACCAAGGCTAACACCAGCAAGAAGCCGGCGGACGTCTGGCGAGAGAAGAGACTTTCATTTCTGAAGTTCCTTGTGGGTTTAGAGTGGATGGTAAAGGAGGGAATGGGATAAATGGAGGGAGAGAGGGAGGGAGGGAGGGAGGGAGGGAGGGAGGGAGGGAGGGAGGGAGGGAGGGAGGGAGAG